AGCAGCTGCAGCAGCAGCTGCAGCAGCAGCTGCAGCAGCAGTTGCAGCTATAGCAGCAGCTGCAGCAGCAACTGCTGCAGCAACTGCTGCATGCAACTGCCTACATATTCTGTTGTTTCTTTTTCTGTCGCCTCTCTTCAAGCCCCAAGCGCTTCCAGGCCTCAGTGTACGGAGGCCAAGAAGGGGTTTTTCTTTGAGTTTTCATCGATATTGTCATAAATGTATTGTCATTTAGGTTATTAAACGTATTTTTAATTTATTTTTATTTATTTCCTCATATAAGATCAAGGAAACTCGCTCAACAGAGTGTGTGGCGGCTCAGTTGTTCACACCGCCTTCACTTAGCCCTTTTTGCAAGGCTTTTAAATAGCGTAAAGAAACTCAGATGCATCTACATGTGAATGTAGAGCAGCTTTGATACATAAGGAAACAAATAACCAGTGGACTCGACCTCCCGGTGGGTGACCGTGACCACTGGTCTACAGCTCACCCCGCCTCTAAATCGTCTATTTAAAAGACGTTTCAACTTGAAAACAACAGCAAAAGAAACTCTTTTTATGCTGCTTTTTGTGTGCAGCTGAGCAAGTTGCAGTGTTCGGGGGCAGAATACGCCTGTTTAGTGATATCCTATGGCGGGGTACCGACCGCTCTCTCGCCTGAGATTGGCTTTCTTTTTCGAGTTTCATTCATCAAAAGAGTGTAAAATTTAATTTTAATAATATTATTTAAATTTCGGAGAAAATCTCGAAACTTTTTCCCACAAAATGTTGCGGGGTGTGCAAGCGGAAAGCTGCCGCCGGCGTTGGGGTTATTTCAATACTGGGGGTTCCTTGCTTGCACTGAGTGCCGTTCAGCTTTCTGCATGCAGCTCAATATACTCGCAGACGAAAAAAAAAATAAAACTTTTTTTTATTTTCTTTGCCGATACACCACAAATTAATTCTTTTTTTTATTCAGGTTTTTCACGTTGGCTCACCGCGCCCGCTCAACTGAACCGAAAAGGTGTATTGAACACGTAGTGGGGGGGAGCAGCTGAACCCGGTGATTCATGTGAAATAAAGTAAATTAAGATAAAATTAATATAAATAAAAACAATTAAAACAATCACAAGCAAAGTAAAACAAAGGAAACGCATATACTGGCAGCAACCGCTTCAATCCGGATAAAGAAAATGCGAAACTTGCAAAAGAGGAATTGAGAAGAGCACGAGAAAATGAAAGCGAAAAGTTCGTCAGTAGCGGCGGCGTTTCAGCAGAAAAGAAGAAAAAAAGAGACAAATACGGGGGGGGTCCGAGGGGAGAAAAGCAAATATAACCAACAAATTTAACATAAACACAAACAAACAAAAAAAACAAAAGCAGTAAACTTAAATATAAAAGATATAAAGGACGAAACAAAGCAGAAACGCATCATCGACACGAACAGCAAGCGAAACAACTGAAATCAGATGAGGGAGAAACTGCAGAAACTGCATTTTTCTTTTTTTCTTTTTTTTGTTTTCCTTATCTTCGGTCTGTTTGCGGTTCTTTCTGAGCAGCAAACTCCACTTGCATCAGCAGCAGCAGCAGCAGCAGCAACAGCAGCAGCGGTAGCGACAGGTCCAACTGCAACAGCAGCAGGTGCAGCAGATACAGATGCAGATGCACTAGCAGCAGCAGCACCATACACAGACGCATATATAGCAGCGTTTGTGAAANAGATACAGATGCAGATGCACTAGCAGCAGCAGCACCATACACAGACGCATATATAGCAGCGTTTGTGAAAACCGACACACCAGTAAAAACAGAAGAAGAGGGAGACGCAGCAGCAACAGCAGCAGAAGCTGCAGCAGCACTCTCTCCTGCTGCTCCCTGTCCTCCTGCGTGTTCTTCCTTTTCAACTGAAGGCTACCACGAAGAAGAGGGGGCAGCGTTGCAGTGTATAGACAGCTGGGGGCGCGCAGCAGCAAACGAAGAACAAACAAAAACAGAGCAAAACGCCCCTGGCTTCCTTAGAGGTAAACTCACCCTGCAGCAGCAACAACACAGGCACAGTTCAGGTGTATGTACACCTATCCTCTCTCTTTGTATGCGGTACATGTAACACAGAGAAGCGAATGCCTGTTATCTATCGCCGTTGTTGTTGCTGCTGCTGTTGCTGCTGCTGTTGCTGTTGCTGCTGCTGCTGCTGCTGCTGCTTTTTGTGTGGTGGTGGTGCAGCCCCTTTCTGCGCGGGCCACGTAGACGTCTTCTTCCCCTCAGGCGAAATTCATCAGCAGCAGCAAACTGCTGGCAGCAGAAAACAGCAG